TGTTTTAATTTGATCGCTTCTTGGCAAAAAGACTTGCCAATTGTCCATGGTGACCCCGACGTGATTCGCGTAAACGGAAAAATTATTTTGTCGAAACTACTAGATTTAGACAAAAACATTAATTCGCTACGATTCGCTTTATTACGAAAATCGAAAGGTTATTAAATCGACCTCGTTACTAAAATGCCTGATTCGTCAGCCAGTGATGCTCGTGTGAATTCCACATTTTACAAGCGCAAGGTAGCAGCGCTCACAAGGCAGCTCGATGATATTCGCACAACCCTGGCCCCGGAAAGGCTACTTGAGCTAGATTCAGCAGCACTCGCTGTGTGGCTTGAACAGGTTGAACGTATAGAAAGAAATTTTGACGGCGTCCAAACGAAGCTTGAAGAGCTTGACCACATGGAATTGGAGAGTAGCGCCCGTTCGGATTTTTTTCGTGCATATGCAGACATCAAAACTTCCATAGTTAAGGAGCAAAATGAACGGCAAGTAAACGAAAAACGTCAATCGTCTACAGCGCGGCAGTTTTCGCTCGACGAGCCATCGTCCTTCATCATAACTCAGCCAAAATCGCGCCTACCCGTACTTCAAATCCCTAAATTTAGTGGGTCATATATCGACTGGCCTGACTTCTATTCAATGTTTTGCACCGTGGTGGACAAGGACTCCGACCTTACAAACATTGAGAAATTCCAGCATCTGCGTTCCAGCTTGACAGCTTCGGCCTTAGACACAATTCGTTCACTTGAAATAAAAGACGAAAATTACAAAACAGCTTTGGAATTATTAGTTCATCGTTTTGATAACAAACGCTTGAATTTTCAGGCCCATATCAAAGAAATATTTGCGCTTCAAAGGATAGAACCTGGAGCCGTCGCGAAACTTCGTGAATTAAGCGATAAAGTCAACGCACATTTGCGTGCACTTCAAACCATGGCAACGAAAGAACAGCTTTCCGACTGTATGCTTATCCACCTCATCTGCAGTAAGCTCGACATATCATCGCAGACTAAATGGGAAGAAGAAACACCAACTAACATCATACCAACCTGGGATTCAATGGCAAGATTTCTAGAGAAGAGATGTCAGCGGTTGGAGAGTGTGGAAGTCGCCTTGGTAACGCAAACACCAGGCCATCAGGTGGGAAAGAAATTTGCTTTAAACAATAAAAATCATCGAAAAACATTTGTTGTGTCCACCAAAACCTGTTCCTTTTGCGACTCCCAGCAGCACTTAATACAGCAGTGTACAAAGTTTCTCAGTTTGTCCCCTGCACTTAGATATAAAGAAGCGAAAAAACTGCAGTTATGTCTTAATTGTTTACACAGAGGTCATTTGATGAAGTCTTGCACAGCAGGTAGCTGTCGAAAATGCTCGTCCAAGCACAACACTTTATTGCATTTGAGCGCAAGCTCTCAGTCCACCTCACTCGATTTAAACGCATCGTCGCCTGCGGTAGATAGCTCCGCACATAAAACGTTGACATCCAACACTCCGGCACAGTCGAGCCTCATATCGGCATCATCACTTCCCTCAATTTCCGCTCAAAGTGCAGAAACGTCGCCTCATAACTTTGTTCTTATCGCTACAGCTATTGTACTCATAACAAATAAAGCTGGCTGCCTCGTACCATGCAGAGCACTCTTAGATTCGGCATCCCAGCTAAACTTTATTACTTCTCGCTTTGTTCACCAGCTTCAGTTAAAAAAGTCTAAAGCCACAACGCTAATTTCTGGCATCGGTCAGTCTGAGCTTGTGTCAGATCATAGAGTTGATCTTCGCATACACTCTCGTATTGGTGATTATGCATCCTCTTTATCTGCCGTCGTAACACCAAAGATCACTGATTGTCAACCTGGATACTCGCTTAACAATATCGACTGGAGCATCCCATCAAATATATCGCTAGCAGATCCATTGTTCTTTGAATCGCAGCGCATAGATCTTCTTATAGGCGCTGGCCTCTTTTTTGAATTACTCTGTGTCGGACAAATTCGCATGCATGAGCACCTTCCCTTACTGCAAAAAACTCGCCTGGGCTGGGTAGTATCTGGTGGTGGCCGATTTGTAAGAAAACGTCTCAGCTGTTTAGCATCCTTAGAGGAAAATTGGGTGGACGACTCCGACGCACTTCATAATCTCGTAGAGCAATTCTGGGCAGTTGAAAATTCGTTTCAGCTCGAGCCTCATGCCACTCACGAAGAACTCGAATGTGAAGCTCACTTCGCTCAAAATGTCACTCGCTTGAAATCAGGTGAATATTCGGTTCATCTTCCTACAAAAATCGATCCCAGTCAACTTGGTGATTCATATCACACTGCTCTTCAACGGCTGAAGGGGTTAGAGAAAAAACTCAAACGCAACGAATCGCTTCGAGAGCAGTACGTAGCATTTATGAAAGAATATATAGCTCTTAAACATATGTCGCCAGTCAGTAGCATAACAGGCAAAACTCCAATGTACTTTCTGCCCCACCACTGTGTGCTAAAAGAAGACAGCACAACCACAAAGTTGCGAGTGGTGTTCGATGGTTCGGCATCTTCTTCTACTGGATATTCCTTAAACGATATTCTCATGGCAGGGCCAACGATACAGGCAAAATTGTTCGACACATTAATACGTTTTCGTTCGTTTAGGATTGCGCTCACAAGCGACATATGCAAGATGTATCGCTGCGTACGCGTTCCAGATCCCGATGCATATTTGCAGTGCATACTGTGGAGAGATTCCCCAGAAGATGAGATTAAAATCTACAAATTAGATACAGTCACGTATGGTACGAAACCAGCTTCTTTCTTGGCCATTCGAGCGATGCACCAGCTTGCCATCGACGAACAATGCAATTACCCTATAGGTGCTATAATCGTTCGCAGGGACTTTTATGTTGACGATATGATTTCTGGTGGCAACTCTGTCGAAGAGGTACTCGAAATTAAGAGTCAGACCTGTGACCTATTGGCCAAAGGTAATTTTATTTTACGTAAGTGGTGTACAAACGATCCGGATGTCTTATGCAAAATATCAGAAAACGAGAGGCAAACATTCTTGAAGTTTAACGATGGAAGCGAAGTAACCAAAACTCTTGGACTTATCTGGGATACGAGAACTGATTGTTTTCTCTTCTGTTTCAACCCAGCCTCATCAACATGTAAGAGAATCACGAAACGAAGTGTACTTTCAGTTATAGCACGATTTTATGATCCGCTGGGTTTAATTGGGCCTGTTATAGCAAAGGCAAAAATTTTGCTTCAACGTTTGTGGAAAGAAAAGGTTCATTGGGATGAGAGCTTACCGCAGAGCTTACAAAATGATTGGCTTATTATATGCGAAGGCTTTCAGCATATAGATAAACTTCGTTTTGACAGATATTCTCTTTCGCCTGAAGCTCGTTTGCAAGTACATGCATTCTGCGATGCAAGCCTATCAGCATATGGAGCATGCATTTATATACGATCTGAGAGTTGCGGTAAAATAAAAACAAATTTGCTTTGTTCCAAATCTCGAGTATCTCCATTAAAAACACTTACAGTGCCAAAGCTAGAACTTTGCGCTGCGTCGTTGTTGGCAACGCTCATCAACTCAGTGGCTCAACTAAACATCTTCGGCAGCGAATTTTATTGTTGGTCGGATTCCACAGTCGTTCTGTCGTGGATCAGCGGAGAACCTTCAAACTACAAAATGTTCGTTTCAAATCGGGTGAGCAGCATTCAAACTCTCACCAAGCACATGTCGTGGCGGTACGTGCCAACTAGTATGAACCCGGCAGACATTCTGTCGCGGGGATCTTCGCCTTTGGAATTGTTAAATTCGCCACTATGGATGTATGGGCCTCACTTTCTGCAGCTCAGTCGCAATGAGTGGCCCGCGGACTTCGCACCTGTTCATGACCTACCCGAGCGTCGTCAGTTTGCAATGTTATCAACAAGAAAAAGTATTGATTTTTCACAGAACTGTAAGTTTGTGAATTCATTCCCGAAAATGCAGCGTATATATGCCTACGTCAACCGATTTGCAAGAGCCATAGGGTGCAAGGATGATCGAAAATTTGGAATGCTAACTACTGAAGACATTAGCTTAGGCACAAAGCTTTTGTTAAGAATGATTCAGCGAGTGCACTTGGCTTCCGACTATAAGGCTTTAGTAACAAGCAAGGAGATAGCCGCGTCTAGCGATTTATATTCACTAATGCCGTTTATAGACGAAGACGGCTTGATGCGCGTGGGCGGGCGACTTGAAAATTCGTCATTAAACTTTGAATCAAAGCATCCAATCATATTGCCAAAAGGGCATGAATTGACCGAAGCCTTGATTGATCATTTTCATCGTAAAATGTTGCATGGTGGACCACAAGCCGTTTTAGCGTCGATTCGTCTCCAGTACTGGCCAATAGGTGGAAGGAAGGCTGTAGCTAAGGTGATCAACAAGTGCATACGATGCTTTCGAGTTAAGCCAAAAACAGCAGAACATCTTATGGGCAACTTGCCGGCCGATCGTGTGCAGGCAAACCGAGCATTCTTAGTAACTGGCATGGATTTTTGTGGCCCGTTTTTGTATCGATCTGAAGTACGCAATAAACCTGCTATTAAATGCTACATCTGCCTGTTTGTTTGTTTTAGCACAAAGGCTGTGCACCTCGAGTTGGTTAGTGATTTGTCAACACCATCGTTTATAGCCGCACTCAAGCGCTTTATATGTACGCGTGGTAAACCTAAAACGCTTTGGTCTGATAACGCTACAAACTTCGTTGGTGCAAAAAATGAATTGGCAGAGCTAAAGCAACTATTTTTTAACGATCAAAATCGCCAAGCAATCCATCAGCAGTGCCTTGACGATGGTATCGATTTTCGCTTTATACCTCCTAGGTCTCCGCATTTTGGCGGCCTTTGGGAGGCATCCGTGAAAACTGCAAAATTTCATTTTTGGCGTGTTGTTGGACTTTCGGTTTTAAACTTCGATGAATTAAGAACACTGGTGGTTGAAATTTCTGCAGTAATGAACTCTCGCCCTCTCTGTCCTCTTACAGAAAATCCTGAAGACCTCGACGTACTAACTCCGGCCCACTTTCTGATCGGGTCAGCATTCACCGCGTTGATTGAGCCAGACGTTTCAGTGCTTAATATTAACCGCTTGGACAGGTGGCAGCGGGTTTGCTATATGCAGCAAATCTTCTGGAAAAAGTGGTCTGCTGAGTATCTCACGCTTCTGCAGCAACGTAGCAAATGGCGCTCCCGAAAGCCGAATATTGAAATCGGAACCATGGTGCTTGTTAAGGATGAGAATTTGCCTCCGCTGAAGTGGCCGGTGGCCAGGGTGATTGAAACCATCAAGGGCAGCGATGAAGTTGCGCGAGTGGCTGTTCTTCGCACCGCTAGTGGCACTACCAGGCGCGCTATCAACAAGTTGTGTGTCCTGCCCATGAACCCTGATGTAGTTGAAAGCCTGCCGCTTCCAACGGGGGGAGGATGTTTGGAGAAGCACCAAAATTCTTAAATTATAAGTCATATAATTTCAAGTAATTCAAATATGCCCTCCACTGTATTTCGTCTTGTCACTCATATTCGTAATTTGTTTACTTTAACCATTTGCTGTCATGTTCATATGTATCTATTGCTTATTAATTTCTGATAACAGTTCTTTAAGCTAATTTTATTTTGTATAAAAGGTCTGTCCTTGAAGGCTGTAAAGGTTATTAAAAGAGAATCCGTTTCGCGAAATACACATCTTGGTTAAACTATCGTGTTTTAATTTGATCGCTTCTTGGCAAAAAGACTTGCCAATTGTCCA